TGTTAATTACCACAAACATCCTGCAGCTCAGAGTCCAATAATCAGATGTCGAAAGGACAAATGTCTTGTTATCTCAACAAAGCTCCCTTTTGTGAATTATTGTCTTTTTTTAGCAACACAAGCACATGTTGAGGAAAAGGGCATGGTTTTCCAGAAAGGCTGGAGCTAATTGTTTGTTTGTTTTTTGACAGATGTGTAATATGAAGATAATGTGAAGATGAGGTGATGTAAGTTCACTTTATTTAACTGACAATTTGATGTCTATACGAATCATGTATTTGGTCAAACCAAAATAAAATACATTTAAAGATGTTTTAAATGCTTATCAAGGCTGCATTTATTTGAGCAAAAATACAGTAAAAACAGCAATATTGTGACATTTTATTACAATTGAAAATAGCGGTTATATATTTTAATATATTTTGAAATGTAATTTATTCCTGCGATGCAAAGCTTAACTTTCAGCATCATTACTCCAGTCTTCAGTGCCACATGATCCTTCAGAAATCATTCTAATATGCTGATTTGCTGCTCAAGAAGCATTTCTTATTATTATTAATGTTGAAAATAGTTGTGCTGCTTCATATTTTGTGGAAACCATGATCCAAGTTTTTTTCAGGACCCTTTAATGAAAATAGAAAAATTAAAAAGAATTGTATTTGTTTAAAGCAGACATTTTTGTAACAATGTAAAAGTCTTTACTGTCACATTTGATCAATTTAATGCAACCTTGCTGAATAAAAGTATTCATTTTCTGACCCCAAACTACATATATATATTAAGATGAAGTTAAATGTATTTAATTTAATGAGGACAAATAAGACGGGGAGCAATTAGTAGCAATTTAACCCTTTGTTGCCTTATTAATTTTAATGTTTTTATAGAGATAATTGATAGTAGATATTCCAGGGGTTACAGTGATTTTACATTTATGTTTTTTTTTTTTTCAGTTAAAAACTACAATATGAAAAAGGTTCAAAAGTTAGTGGGGTCGCTTTAACCCGTGGCCGGCAACGATGAAAATGTAGCCCAACTCCGAGGTAAAACTGTGGACTTCGCAACACTTGCGCAGTGCGCTGTCATACGGCCAATGTAAACACGGAGGATATAAAGTAAGCGATTATGCATTTATTTATTGTGTGATCTGCCGCGGAAGCCAGCGAAATTATGCGCAGGCAATATGAAAAATAAAGACAAGGATATGACAGAAGAGAGCAGAGTTTTGGAACATTTATGATGCGAGCCCTCATGTTTTGCTTGTATACAGTGGTGTACGGGGCACCCCCGCAGCCCCCGCGGTGCGTGGGGGCCCCGTCGCAGGACATTCTAAAAGGCAGTGCTTCGAGACACTGCAAAAGACGCAAGACGTGAGTGCAAAGGTAGTGCAGTGGAGCGGGCTTAATGTTCTAAAACAACAACTGGGGAAAATCAAATTTTTCTCACATTTCACTTATCATAAGCACTATACTTCTAAGACAACCGCACCGTAATCGAAGTGGATATTTTTATGCTTAAAGTGGCTTATGTATATAAGCCACAATGGCTGTGCGAAGTTGCTGGATATTGGCAGGAACTGGAACACGCTGTCGCCAGCCTAAGGCACACCTGTGCAATAATCATGCTGTCTAATCAGCATCTTGATATGCCACACCTGTGAGGTGGATGAATCTCGGCAAAGGAGAAGTGCTCACTAACACAGATTTAGACAGATTTGTGAACAATATTTGAGAGAAATAGGCCTTTTGTGTAAATAGAAAAAGTCTTAGATCTTTGAGTTCAGCTCATGAAAAATGAGGGCAAAAACAAATTGTTGCGTTTATAATTTTGTTCAGTGTATTTGGATGCTAAAATAATATTTATTACGTATAGGTTTTACACTTAACTCGCATTATCGACGTAAATCATCATCCTTCACAAAGGCTATAACAGCACAGTGAGGCGCTGGTCACTCTGAACGCAACAACGGACTTTTTCAATTGAGCATTGTAACTTTTATGTTTCTTTATGTATTTTATTTTGATAACGAACAGGCTGCGATGTCAAGGTAGCAAAAATGTTGTGTGTGCGCGTGAGGCGCCAGCGCGATCACTGCATTGTTTTTCGAAAAGTTAATCATAATTTAGTCATATACCAACGCTGGTTGGTCATACAAGCAAGACATCATTCATCACTGTAAACCTGTTCCAATGGCAAACGCTTTAGCGGTTCACTGATGACTTGTCACCAGATTTTGTCATGCAATTTATCGTTCGTTCTCGAAATTGAAAGTGATCAAGACATTTCTCCGGAGCACAATGTTACAAGAAAGAAGACTGCCAGTTTAGCCCTAAGTATTGAGAATGCCCATGCTCGCAACATCGACATTAAAGCTGCAGTCAAAGACTTTGCGCACCAAAACGCTCGGAGAGCGCAAAGGATTCGGAAGAGTTTTTGCTCGTTTGTGGTTGTCAGTTAATAAAAAGAATAAATAAGTTAATTGCAAAAGTTGGTATATTTATAGAAAGTAAATTTCATATCTTTTAATTTGTTTTTCTCCTAGTTTTTTTTTTTTTTTTTTTTTACTGTTCGTTTTCTTACTGAAAGACATGAATTTTGCTTGTATCATTTTTTTAAACAGTTAGCCAGGCTTATAGGACAGTGAAACGTGCTGGCCATTAGCCTACATGAAATTCATCAATGCAATGATAATTCACCACATTCATTACTGATAAATCAGTTAAGTAAATAGAAGAAATGGACTCAGTAGTATAATTGCAGCAGATGCACAATAAATTTTTGTACATGACATCACTGCTGGTGCTAGGGGCCCCATCTCGTTCTTTGCGAGGGGCCTCTAAGATGTGCGGTACGCCACTGCTTGTATATAGTGTAATACTTAGGAGTTCTGACACGTCACTGTACTTCCACTGACTACCTTTCGCAACTCTCTTGATAACTTTGGGCCACAGTTTTGGGCCATACACTCTTAAAAATAAAGGTGCTTCACGATGCCATAGAAGAACCTTTTTGTCTAAATGGTTCCATAAAGAACCTTTAACATCTGAAGAACCTTTCTGTTTGACAAAAGGTTCTTTGTGGCGAAAGGAGGTTCTTCAGATTACAAAAAGGTAAGAAAGAGATGGTTCTTTAAAGAACCTTTGACTGAATGGTTCTTTGTGGAACCAAAAATGGTTCTTCTATGGCATCGCTTGAAGAACTTTTGAAGCACCTTTATTTTTAAGAGTGTATTTGCCTGCAGTGTGAAAGTAACCACTGTCACTAGCAAAACGTGTTCTATAAGATCTGAAGGTTTTTTTACTGCAAGTTGCTTGTATTTTAGCAGAATATATGGCCACTTTTGAATGCCTGTCAGTGGAGAAAGAGCAATTGCAGCATCTTGTCAGCACTGGAATAAACTATAACCATATTTTCAGGTCAAAAGGTTGTCCTGGCCAGGTCATGCCCATCGGAAAGTATGTTTCTCTAAAGCAGAGATGCCCAAACCAGGGCCCATGGGCCAAAGTTGACCTATTTGCAGCACATTTGATAGGAAAAAACATGCCATTGAAGCATATCTTCATTTCTAATTTATCACTTTGTTTTAACATTTTTTGTTTGTTTATTGCATTAAAAGAGAATATAAGTGAATTTGATACATTTTTATTTTTACATTTGACATTTTATCATAATACAGTTGGATATAAAGCAGCATTTACTTGCAGCCTATACAGCCCTCAATCAAGTTTGATGTTTGGCCCTTCATAGGAAAACATTTAGACAAATAATTGAATTCTTCTGACATCACATGAGGTTGTCATGCGCATATAAAATGAGGTTTCTCTTCTACTTCCTTCACACCAGACTGGAGCAGCTGCAGAGGTATGACTGGAAAGACAACTGAACTTTATGTGACTCTAAAGTGAATTTGTTGATGCAACTGAATTTTACATTGAGAATAACATTGCTCTATCTTAGTTATCTTGCTGCACATTGTTACACCTCCTACATTCTCTTCTCTTTTTTGTCCAGAAAGCGGTGCTATCAAAAAATGAACGTTTCACTGGTGGGTAACATCACACAACCCAAGTATCTGCGGGACAGCTTTAGCTCAGCGGTGACTAGGAATGTGATCGTGGTCGGTTTGTGCATCTCCATCAACTATATCAATGGCACGCTCGTCCACACCTTCATCAAGCATGAGATCTTCAACGGAAACCCTCGCTACATTCTCTTCATTCACATGGTGCTCAATGACATGATTCAGCTGATGATTGCAGTCGTCCTTCACATTTTAAGCTACACTGTGTTTACTCTCAATGTCTCTTTCTGCTGTGTTTCTTTAAAGAACCTTTGACTGAATGGTTCTTTGTGGAACCAAAAATGGTTCTTCTATGGCATCGCTTGAAGAACTTTTGAAGCACCTTTATTTTTAAGAGTGTATTTGCCTGCAGTGTGAAAGTAACCACTGTCACTAGCAAAACGTGTTCTATAAGATCTGAAGGTTTTTTTACTGCAAGTTGCTTGTATTTTAGCAGAATATATGGCCACTTTTGAATGCCTGTCAGTGGAGAAAGAGCAATTGCAGCATCTTGTCAGCACTGGAATAAACTATAACCATATTTTCAGGTCAAAAGGTTGTCCTGGCCAGGTCATGCCCATCGGAAAGTATGTTTCTCTAAAGCAGAGATGCCCAAACCAGGGCCCATGGGCCAAAGTTGACCTATTTGCAGCACATTTGATAGGAAAAAACATGCCATTGAAGCATATCTTCATTTCTAATTTATCACTTTGTTTTAACATTTTTTGTTTGTTTATTGCATTAAAAGAGAATATAAGTGAATTTGATACATTTTTATTTTTACATTTGACATTTTATCATAATACAGTTGGATATAAAGCAGCATTTACTTGCAGCCTATACAGCCCTCAATCAAGTTTGATGTTTGGCCCTTCATAGGAAAACATTTAGACAAATAATTGAATTCTTCTGACATCACATGAGGTTGTCATGCGCATATAAAATGAGGTTTCTCTTCTACTTCCTTCACACCAGACTGGAGCAGCTGCAGAGGTATGACTGGAAAGACAACTGAACTTTATGTGACTCTAAAGTGAATTTGTTGATGCAACTGAATTTTACATTGAGAATAACATTGCTCTATCTTAGTTATCTTGCTGCACATTGTTACACCTCCTACATTCTCTTCTCTTTTTTGTCCAGAAAGCGGTGCTATCAAAAAATGAACGTTTCACTGGTGGGTAACATCACACAACCCAAGTATCTGCGGGACAGCTTTAGCTCAGCGGTGACTAGGAATGTGATCGTGGTCGGTTTGTGCATCTCCATCAACTATATCAATGGCACGCTCGTCCACACCTTCATCAAGCATGAGATCTTCAACGGAAACCCTCGCTACATTCTCTTCATTCACATGGTGCTCAATGACATGATTCAGCTGATGATTGCAGTCGTCCTTCACATTTTAAGCTACACTGTGTTTACTCTCAATGTCTCTTTCTGCTGTGTTTTATTGATGAGTGTTATATTCACAACGCTCAACACACCGCTGAATCTCGCTACCATGGCTATAGAGCGCTATATAGCCATATGCAACCCTTTACGTCATGCTCAGATCTGTACCGTACGTAAAACGTACATCCTTATCAGCCTGATCTGGGTCCTGAGTGCCATTCAGGTTCTACCAGACCTGTTCATCCTGTTGGCTACAAAACCTCTAACCTTCTTCTACAGCAACATCCCCTGCATCAGAGATTATGTGTTTGATAACCCATATATAGTAGAAAAGAGAAATGTTGTGTACATCATTTACCTGACCTTTGTGTGGCTCACTATAGTGTATACTTACTTGAAGATCATGTTTGTTGCAAAGGCCACGAACTCAGATGCTCGCAAAGCTCGGAGTACCATCATCCTACACGGGATCCAGCTTCTGATGTGCATGCTAACGTTTGTCGGGCCCTTCCTGGACAGGCTGCTCGCAGAAATGTTTCCGCTGTTTATTATAGATACGAGATTCTCAAGTTATTTAGTAATCCAGATAATGCCCAGGTTTATCAGTCCAATTGTGTATGGCATGAGAGATCAAATGTTTTGCAAATACCTGAAAAGATACTTACTGTGTACAATGTTCAAGATGAGGAGAAAAACACAAAATCTCCAACCCAGTGGGAATTTGGCAAAAGTTTCTAATAAATCCATGTGACAGTTCACTTTATTAAAATATTGTGAAGAAAATAAATGTTGGCTTTGTAAGCAACATCTGTTGATGAATATGATTTGTTTGAAAAATTATTTAATAAAAATATACTGCACTACATGTACAATGAGCAGAATTAATACATTGAAATGTAATGAATGATTGACGCTACCGAGGTGGATAGAGACCCCAGCACTGGTTCATAATATTAAACTAAATGTACCCAGATGTTTAGTTATCATCCAGATTGGATCTTGTTTTGCAGGAAACAATGTCATTTTTAAAGTGAGAAATTGCATAAGATAATAAGAACTTTTGAAGTAACAAAACAAATGCTTATTCAGAGTGTATGGCAGCTGTACCTGAACTTCCCAGACATACCAGCATAAAAAATGTCAATGGAAATACTCCTTTACTTTGTGCAATGAAAACACACATACGTTACTAAATCAGTAGTTTCAATTGACCTTTTTCTTTTTCTCAGCTTTTAGATTTTGCAAATCTGACTCATTTTCTGTGGATGTTGTGTAAATAGTATAAATGAAAAGCTGTAATGTTCTCATCACATTTCAGATCACATACCATGTGATATCTAATAACTGTTTTCTCATTATTATGATCTGTAATGTTAGTTACACTAAGAGAGATTCATGATCTACATAATTCAAATAATTATATATGTGTGTATATATATATATATATATATAATTAATATATTAATAAATTGATATGACCTCCATCTAAGGAAATGTCATTAGTTATGTCACTGGGGCAAATAAAGAAAATAAAACACAAGCTTAGTGAAATGTATGTCAGAAAAATAATAATTCGGACATATATGATGTCCTTAGAAAAATGCCCCCTAAAACTAGGCCTATTCTGATATATCCTATTTCAAAATCTTATTTTTCCCATATATATTTTACTAAGCACGCTGGAGTTTATTTTTGGATGAGAGCGTTTTCTTTTCTAGTTTTTTCTTGAAACTCTCCCAAACAACATTGTTTTTCGTTTTTGTTTTTGTTTTTGAGGCTTCCTGACCCCAAGACTCAATTATTTTCTGCTGTTCTCCAGCTGTGATCCTTGGAGTCTTTGGGCACTCAAACTCTCCTCCTCACCGTGCATTAGGACGATATAGATATGCGTCCTCTTACTGTATTAGAGAAAAATATTTATTTCATAATGTGATTTTCCCCCACTTTCACTTTTTTTTTTACTTTAATCAAAGGTTCGATTTTTTTGTTTTTTTTGTTTTTTTGAATGAAAGATCAAGTGGATAAACAATGCAGATTTATTTTCACAGCCTTCTTTGATCATATTTACCAAGGGTATGAATAATATTGAGCACAACTGTATGTTACAATTGGTTTATGTGAGTATTTGTGTATCAAACATACAAACCCGATTCCAAAAAAGTTGGGATACTGTACAAATTGTGAATAGTTTACTCACAATTTGTACAGTGTCCCAACTTTTTTGGAATCGGGTTTGTATTATAGGAATATCTTTGCTTTTAAAATATCTTTGCTATCTCATAAACATGTGATAACATTAACAATGAAGGTTTTAATGCTATACTAGCCTACTGTTTTGTCGAGCCCGGGCTCATGAAAATGCGTATAAATAGTAGCCTACGCCAAATAAAAACGAAAACTCGTGGTAGCCTATTGATACGCAAAAATGGACTTTGGCCTGCATATGATACGCATGTGTTTAGCGTGCATATAATACGCAGTTTTAGCGTGCATATGATACGAAATTTGTTGGCGTGCATATGATATGCAGTTTTCGCGTACATATGATACGCATCTACCCCACAAGCCTAAACCTACCCATCGTGTAGCATATACACGCCAACGTCCATTTTTGCGTATCAATACCACGAGTTTTAGTTTTTATTTGGCGTACTATTTATACGCAATTTCATGAGATCGGGTTTTTTCAGGGTTGTGGCTAGAAGGGATGCATGCAGCTACGGCCAGAAAATAACAATAAATTAAATTTATACCTATTAGATCAGATTATGTGTTTTATTAACGTCTACACCCAACCCTAAACCTAACCTTACAATAATGCAAATACAGTAATTAATTGTTCAGCATCAGCATGACACAATATTGATGTGCCCATGTCCAGTAGGACAATCTGGCCGTGGCTGTATCCCATCTAGACTTAACCAGAAAACACTGCTGCATAAAACGCACATGATGCAATATATAGAAAATACAATAGAAACTTAAATTATGAAAAAAAACAATAAATATCTAATTAATTCATGACAGCATCATGCAGTAACTTGCAGAAATTCTCAAATATAGATTTTTTCCTATCATGAACAAATAAAAACAGTTTGTGCATTTCTACAAGGACAGTCTATGTGGTTAAAGTGTGATCTCTAGTGTTACTGGATCTTCTAAAAAACAGCATCTGCTAAAACTATAAATAAGGTCTTCTGTAACTGATGTTTCCAAAGATGGCTTAGCTGCGCTAGCTTGAAACAACATAAGCTTTCACCAACGTCAAATGCAAAATGAAGTAGTTACATGATTAAGTGTTTTGTTAAACTGTGTGTAAACACATGGTTGAGAATGAATGTGCATATGTGTGTTTAAACACTCAGGACACTCAGGACTTTGTGCTTCACTTCACAGACACATGAAACTTTATTATGGAGCTGCACAGGATCAAAACAGCTTCAGTTATTCAGTTGCAATACACACTGATAGTCTGTTAATGTTGAATTTAAATATCCACAGACTAAACGTAGTCACACAGATGAGCTTGTTAGTAATGATCAATCTTATCACAGGGGTTTTAACAACGATTACTCGTATAGTCAAAACAGACAGGTTAGAGAAACAAACCGGCCCATCACAAAGTCTCTTTTACAGCATATCCGCTAATGAATCTTTGCAGACAGTGCAGGAACAGCCTGCTATAGGTTTACATGTTGATGTAGGAGGTGCTTTTGGGGTCAGGCCACATTAATATCTGTATTAAGAGATGAATTGATACCCACATAGAGCATCAGGATATGCAGAACCTCATTCCCTTATTTGCTTTGATGCTTCTTATTAAAGTGAGTGAATGTTTATTGCTCTTGTGGATGTTTATTGATCTGAACACCTCCTTATACTCATGAAACTTCTTGATAACAGCATGGAGATCAGAAACTGTATTTGTAATTTGCCAGAATCACACAATAACAATTTAGTCTTTATTTGTTTACATTTTCTATGCAGAAGTTTTCTGTAAGTTCATAAAGCACAGCTGCACAAGTCTTGCATGCATTTCTACTTGCTATCCACACTTTTTGTGTGCACAGATTACATTTTAACATCAAATGGAAGTGGTAGTACTTCCCAAGAGTTTTAGTCTTATAATAAAGGTTCAAGTCAAGTTAAACATCATGATTTAGTGAGCGTTTCCTTAGCTTGGAAAGGCAGCAATTGTCTCCATGCAAGATGTTTTGGCTTTGTACGAGTCTCTAATGATCAGATAAACAGTAGTTGGCACAACCCATAGAACACAGTTCTAAATCTTAAATAACGAAGCACATACAGATTAGTTTAATAAATTAAGGTCCAATTAACTATATATTTAGAACAGATCTGGCCAGTTTTCTGTGTGATATGCAAAATAAATAGCAATGATGAGAGAGTAATTAAAATCTGGAACAATGACACAGAGAAAAATAAATGAATTTGCTTTTATAATTACACGGAACTAAATCAATACCCAATTCCTAATTACTATTAAATATAGTCCAATCATTTACAGACAAAATAGTTTCTATAGGACATATATCTTCTCAGAAATGGGTTCAGTTTATATACAACCGAGAGGGAGAAAGAGAAAGGTAGGAAGAAAGGAAGTATCACTGTGGCAGGACTTTGAGAATAGCGTTCACCTCTTCAGCTACAGTCGTCAGTGCAAACTCAAACTGATCCTGAGAAAGACACAGACACAGCATGTGTCAGCATGAAAAGAGATTGTGTGTTTCGGTGTATTTGGGGGTATGTGTGTGTATATACCTTGGTCTGAACCATGCCGGGTCTCTGGTCTCTCAGGTGTTCCAGCACCAATTTCAGGTCTTGAAGTCTCTACTAATGAGCTGATGACCTGAATCAGGTGTGTTTGATTAAGGAGCCATGCAAAACGTGCAGTTTTGGGGTGCCTCCAGCACCAGGGTTGGGAACCACTGGTCTAGAGTACCCGTATGGTGCGCACATATTTATGCCAAGTTTATTTTTTATAAATCTCAATATGTACGTGGAAAATTGCGTACGCACATTTCCATGCCCATTTTGTGCGTGCATATTCCACGTACAAACCCGATTCCAAAAAAGTTGGGACACTGTACAAATTGTGAATAAAAACAGAATGCAATGATGTGGAAGTTTCAAATTTCAATATTTTATTCAGAATACAACATAGATGACATATCAAATGTTTAAACTGAGAAAATGTATCATTTTAAGGGAAAAATAAGTTGATTTTAAATTTCATGGCATCAACACATCTCAAAAAAGTTGGGACAAGGCCATGTTTACCACTGTGTGGCATCCCCTCTTCTTTTTATAACAGTCTGCAAACGTCTGGGGACTGAGGAGACAAGTTGCTCAAGTTTAGGAATAGGAATGTTGTCCCATTCTTGTCTAATACAGGCTTCTAGTTGCTCAACTGTCTTAGGTCTTCTTTGTCGCATCTTCCTCTTTATGATGCGCCAAATGTTTTCTATGGGTGAAAGATCTGGACTGCAGGCTGGCCATTTCAGTACCCGGATCCTTCTTCTACGCAGCCATGATGTTGTAATTGATGCAGTATGTGGTCTGGCATTGTCATGTTGGAAAATGCAAGGTCTTCCCTGAAAGAGACGACGTCTGGATGGGAGCATATGTTGTTCTAGAACTTGGATATACCTTTCAGCATTGATGGTGCCTTTCCAGATGTGTAAGCTGCCCATGCCACACGCACTCATGCAACCCCATACCATCAGAGATGCA